CTGCCTGTTTAAAACCTACTTCTTCAAAATAACTCGTCAACTGACTTTAATACCTTTCCAGTTATTTATAAGGTTGTATTATCTCGGATAACATATATTTAGCAAAGTGTAATTTACCACTATACTGCGGTATATGTGAGGAAAGTAAATTCACTAAGCCCCTACTGTATGACCATCTGTTTGTATGTCTGTCTGCTTTCGGCATAGAACTTTGCATTGACGTGCAGCAGTTCAAGTCGCCACACTCCCTCCTTGTAGCACACAAATCAAGAGAAGAAAGTAGAAGAAATGCATAATAGAGACAGTAGACGGAGATGTGAGACAAAAGGAATAGTAAAAACGAAGAACAATATAGTTTCATTGGAAATCATAAGTCACAACTAGTGGATGCATCTTCGCTAGCCATTGAGAACGATTTTGAGCCATATTCCCAATTGTTTCCAACCCTTGGTTGTTACCGTCCCGAAGACTTCAACCAGTCAGGAAGTCTACACCTTCCTACGCGACTGGTTTAAACTAACTGTTGTGGATTTCATTGACTGATGGCATGTTTTGGTTTGACAGCCGCCAGCTCTTTTCTTGGCGGCCCCTATGTCGGCTAACATTGGCCGTCGAGGAAGGCGATGACTAGGCATACGTACCACATGTCCTAACCATCTTACACTATGCTCGGGGGTCTGAGGGCGAAGTCGTACTGCTGGGTAACAGGGATATAACAGCAGTAAGGTGTTTCCCTCAGATGGCTAGCTATGCTGTCACTCCACTCTGAAGATAGGGGGTTAGAAAAGGTCGACCCCAGTAATTGTATAACCCAACTCACCCTACGGTGGTCCGTAACCGGCAGTAAGTTTACCAATACGGAACCAACCCCAGAAACCAGTTCATACATGCCGTGTGTGACCGGCCTCAAGCAGTTGTCCACTGGGCTTTGCGGTCACGCAATACTAACCCTCTTTCTGTTTCAGGTAACCTAAGAATCAATCAACTTCCACGGTTTGGGCAGCCGGGAAGTAACAACCGCCCACACACTTCCAAAAGTACACGAAGCCTTCCTGAGCAACATTCTCCTACTGTATGACTAGGACACATGGTCATCAAATTTGGAAGAGTTGAGGAGTCCTCTATAGAGATCTCTGTAACAGTTGCTTTCACTGCAGTGTTTAAATATGACAGAATTGTAGAAACAGTAACTCCATTGTTAGAATGTAAACTTCTTGGCAACAACGAACAACCAGATAATGAAGTTGTCCACCTTGAAATACATTGACAAGAGACCTCAATTGAAAATATACAGGGTTGAAGGAAGGTTAATATAAATAATATTTGTAGAACGTGGGTGGTTCAGCAGCAAAATCTTCACCAACCACGCCTTATGTCGTCTGGAGTTCAATTCTTGACCAACGCACTCCTTGTGAACCTTGCATGGCTGCGGCAGGAAGCCGGATAAAGAGGGAAAGTTGAACGTGCGACTAGCAACCTCACCAGGTTAAAAATAAGATGACATCACTGCCGCTGAAACTTTAAAGCTCCAGCTTGAGGTCCTGTTTTCCACTCAGAACGCAAAGGAAGAAACAAATCGTGGAACAGATCATTTCAGTGTAAGTGTACTTGTTATGAGTATTCATATACACACACACATGTATACATAGAATCAATGTCCACACAAGTCTTAGGGAATTTGTTTATCATAAACTTATAAATGGTAATCGTAAAACGTAGTTATGGATACCAAAATGCAAACCAACTATAAGTCGGATACAACATATGTATATGATTGACATATTTAAATGTATGAATAAGAAAATTCCGACAAATCATCTAATCACGGGCAGTAAAACTTATTATTATGTCCAGTAACCTTATAGAAATCTGCCTAACCAAACCAAGAGTAGAGTCAATTTATGGACACTATAAATCAGCGTGTGTGCGTCTGTGGCACAGCAGTTAGGAAGCTTGACGACTATGCACATGGACCGAGGTTCAATCCTCGGTCAAAGCACTCTTTTACTTCGCTGAACCATAAATAAAGCTGGTAAAGAGGAAAGGTTGGGAATGAGGCCAGCAACTCTATCTTGTAAAATTAAACACTGCTACAGAAAATTCAAGCCTCTGGTTTGAAGCTGTATGTTCCACTGCAAACGTGTAGGAATAAAAAAACTAAATTAGCATGTAATTTGGTTGATGACGGCCAGCAGCTACATCGATTGACATGGTTAGGACACATGTCACGTATTTGGGACTGCCATCTTCATCTATAAGCAATTTAATCTGATGTAGAATTGCATTGAAATAGAGTCAGTGACGAGCAAATCAAGACCTCGCATCCCTTAATGAAGTTTCTGAGCCACGTAGGAGGTTGTAGATTGACCTACAGTAGTCATCGGGGTGGTAATATCGAGTGACTGCAGACAATATTGAAGATATGGCTTAAAATCGTTCGCAATGGTGCAGAGGCATTCACTCTTTGTGATCTTCAAAATCCAGTAAAACTTCACATTTTTCTATGTTACCATTCTTTTTACTGTGCATTTCTGCTCATTGTAATTCGCTTTAATATAATTTTTTCTATCCTTTGTCTACGTTGGTGCGCTACAAAGGTTGTGGTCAACTGAACTACTGCACTTTTATTCAAGGGTCCGTGTTTAAACTTAGGTCGTATGTTTGACAGACGTCAGCAATTACACTAAATCAAGGCATTTTTGTATCTATAAGAGTGTATCAATTATCTTGAAGATGTTAAGATACCTTAGTGACTTATAGTAATGGGCATGAGATCAGAGTAAAACAGTGATTACTATCAATAGCTTTCAAACACCTAAAACTTATAAAAATTTACTTAAATATAGAGTCGGCTGTCAGCTGTCAGAATCGTCTGTCTAATCAACATTATTTGGAGATCAAGTGATACAAATGTTGATTGCCGACTGTTACTGATAATTGATTTTTATTGCAATTGTCCACAAACTTTCAGTAACACCGTTAAACTGTAGAATCCAAATGTGAAGTTATGGGGAGAGTATTCTTCGTTCGTCAATCTCTTTCTATAATTTAGACCATTATATATTAGGCACTGTTAAACTGATATCCTAGTAGTTTCTAGTTTTTATTTATCTTATTCATTGCAGGTTTGCGATAAGCTTGTTAGTACTGACTTAATGTCGTAAGCATTTACGATGGACACAGTCTTAACTCCCAACACCTTGAACACTTTGAAACTTTCGTCTACTATTTCCTGTAACAAGTAAGACTAAGCTCTAGCAATCTTAGATACTTATAACACAACAAACTGTCGTCTTCAGCTCTTTTAACAAGATCTGTTGCATTAACACAAACTTGTGGAAGATAATTACAATAAACGGCAGCTTAAGTTTTGTGCTGTTTTCAAAACTACATTTTATTTTCAGTCCAATAACTCCACTGATACTTGATGACATAATAACTAGAAGATTGTTTCGTAATAACAGACAAATCTGTATGAATGACAAGTCTTTGAAACATATATTACATTTCTATTTCAAGACAAAATAAACAATAAGATTTACTCTCATACAACTCGTATTATTTCAACTGTGGAATTAATGCACAAAATAATACAGATTTACTATCAGGCTTCAAGAAGTTGAGACATCCTCCATACTTCTGAATGTATACAAAACACAATCAACTGTTTTTTTTAGTTGTTACTGTTACTATTTGGATTACGAAATCAAGACCTTTTTAACATCATAACACCCTGATATTTGCAAATAAATAAGTGGCAATCAATTCCATACTGAAGTCTTATAAAGGTGATTACTTAGCCAGTTTTGACTGTCATATGGCTGATATTGTACTATATAAATAAACAGCCACAGTAAATGCTCTTTAGCAAAATATGGACTCTGATACCATAACTGTCAATTAAAAGAAATGCCCAGAGATATTCGAACAAAAGAATAAAAACCATCGATTCGCTTACACAGACCAACTGGTAGTTTTCTTGCTTAGCAACTGATGTATTTTGTTCGAGTGGATAGCACTCACGATTCGTGACTATAAAAAGACCTGTAACCATGTTAACCAATTAATGTTTAAGTCACAATCTGCAGATATTTTGAGTGTTTTGCCTTTAAAGAGTTTCGAGCATTTTAATGATGAATTCTTCATGAAAAAATGTTCTCGAAATATTCTAAAGACTTACATTAGAACCCCAAATATCTTAAAACATAGGGTCTTTTCTGAAAGTTCAATGAAAGAGGAGATGGTGATTAGGATAAGTGAGAGATAACAGAGTTTCATGGTAACATTCAAGGCGTTACCTGTTGCCTGTAAACGAATATTTCCACAAAGCGGCTTATGTTTTATCCTTGACACTATCTTAAACTATTTCCATTCCTTTATACTACAAATACTTTGGAAAAATTAGTCCAAATCTTCTGAAATGTTATGAGATCAAAGTTTAGCTGGAAAAAGACAAGGTGATTTTATAAACACTGTTGCAAAGATCAACAGTCAGAGATGAACTGTAACTTCCTTAAACGTCAGACGCAATGAATTATAGTTTTTTTAAAACACGAAATCCCGGGATGTATATGTCAACAGGCGAATAACTCACTAACCTCAGTTCACGGGAATGGCAAAATGATTCTAAACAATTTTTTATCATCAGTGATTATACATATATATATATATATCACAAAAAAGCAGATAAATCTGAATAACTTATTATCTGGATATTTCAGGATAAATATCTACATATGCAGAAACTTCCTACGTTGCCCCGAAAAATTGACTGAAAAGTTTCCAGATATATGCAATACATTTAAACATAAATCAACCATCACAATCATGCATATATTTATAAATATAAGTAAATTTTAAAAAATATTTGAATATTAATATTCAAATATTCGGCAGAGTTGAATATTAATTAATATTCAACTCTGCCGATATTTCATATGCCTTAGAGGTACTCAGGCATTTGTTCGATAACATGTTAGAGTACATATTGAGAAACTCACCAGCAATAGGATTCACTTGTATAGACGGAAATACTTGAATACTATGAGTTTTTTCATTTACGTAAGCATGAAAAACTTCTTTGGAACTTGGTGAGAAATTCCACAGCAGTTGGGACTGCACAAGAACTGAAATATGTTATTTAAAATGTTCGTTACTACTGAAACTTACAGAAGTTTAGTAAGAACACAATAGCCGAAGTGCACTTCATAGGTCTTTTTCGCAACAACCGCGTACACTTAATGTAGCGCATATAGCAACTGTTGTTGGCACTAATGCAATTCCAATGTCCAATATCGTTTTTGGGAGCTAGTATAAGCCATTTTGATATCGTTTTGCTCACTTCTTGATTGTGAGGTAAGATTTATTACTCTTTGGTGTACTTCTGAGTGGTTCGTCTCGCCAGTCTACTGTCGTAGCTTTGGTTGACTCCAAAGGGAGTGACACTGGGATTAGTTATGTGGCGTTTGCAGTATACCGTGTGTTAACACCTTGTTACTACTGCAAAGGGAGTAATAATTTGACCAGTTAGTTTACCAGCATCATCGTCAAAAGAAAAGAGATAATAACAAATGTATTTAGTGTAGGTTATTCAAACTAAAAGACAGAAAAAGAAATCAAGAAATTGTAAAGACAGACCATCAATTAAATTCGAAGATGGAATATATATATATATATACATACACGAATATATGTGTATATAATATCAGTAATGACAATAATGACAGTGATAATAATTGTGAGTGTAGTAGTTGGAGTAGTCAGGAGAATTGCCATTAAGTCCATACTTTATCTAGTATATCGAATCCGTATTCACACTTCGGATTATTAAAGCCACTACGCTAGAGGGTACGTTTTCGGCGGTTTAATCTAGCTCCGAATATACATCACAAGCAGAAATGGCTTATCGCCATGTAGAATCCCACCAGCTTATGATTCATTTGGATGAAAAGAAATATCGGAGGTCACCACTGTTCGGCTCCAGAAAGAATTAATAGGCCGGATAAATCGGTGTTCAAGTCAGTGGAGAAACCACTGAATCGCACTATCACTTGACTCGTCATCCACCAATATGAAAGTAGGAATCGATCTAGGCTTTTTAGCCTCTTCATGTATGGTGAGTGTTGGAGTTCGCCGACCATTTTGTCTCCCACTTTTTGATTCACTTATGCTGCCAGCACGGATTTAAAAAATGAAACTGACACCTGAACCCTAAATTTTCATTGAGTTCTAATTGAGATCGGTTATTATAAAGAATATGTGTAAGCAGTGTAGACAGTTCATACTATCCTCGTACCATTCCCCGCAGCTGTGTGTAACTGTGCTCAGCAGTAAGCTCCATGACATTAACTTCTTTAAGATTGCGACCAAGCAGTTAAATGCATCTAGGTTTCAGCGATTCGTGGTGTTCCCTCTGAGAATGGAATCTGTTAGGCACCATTTCTATGCTAGACGGTTGTCTACTGTACTACTGGGCTACGAAAATCATCTCTCGTGCAGTTCTTACGGTATTGCTTTTACTTAAAAGTGTGATTTCCTACTGATTATTTTTAATGCAAGCTCTGGCATGAAGTATCGCTTTTTTGTAGCGTTTTCGACCTATCAAGCTTGTTTTGTGTTTAGTTGAATCAGTATCACCAACTCAGGTGTAAGCGAGTCCACCTGATAAGTCCCAGACAAGATGTAACTCGCATCACGGATCACCCTGGTGAAACAAATCAGTCAAGTCTGCATGATAAGTGGCCTTAGATTTGCACCAGAAAGCCGCATTATTGAAAAATGTTTCTTAAACTTCCTGTTATCTACATCACTCTCATGACCAACAGCTGAAATCCTTTTGCGAATATTATATTTTCGACGAACTAATAAATCAAGGTTCATCCATGAGTAAGCCTTTTAAATTCACAAACTTTGTTTTGGTTTATAATTATTTCAACAGTACTTACCTCAATACGCTGCTTGGATGTTATATACCAATGCACCCTAATGCTAGCTAACTTTGGGACGCATCACTCGGAAGTTGCCAAGTACAATGACCTATTTCTGAATGCCCGTTATCAAAGACTATGAGAAAGCACTGTACAGCTGTGCATTCGGGAGGAGTCATAAACCGTTCAGCATTTAGCCCAAGATGAAACAACACTGATGTCAATATACACATTGTTGTGGCCGCACGTACTCGGTGATATTTCTCGACAAATTTTGACCGTAGAGATGCCTATTACTTCTGATTTTACTCCACCTACATTCAGTGGTGTCTAGATATTCGACTGTTTGATAAATGGCGGGTGCAGTATACACTCTTTTACAAAAATGTCTCCCTACTGGTGATGTTCAGCTTAGAAGGCACCCAACTACTTACGTGCCATGACAAGATTAGCCATGATCTGCCTTCAGTCCTCAAGTTCCTGTAAGGCGCTTACTGAGGAAATACTCTCAGTTTTTCCTACGGTTTAACGCAGTGATCCAGGAAGGTGCTGGTTTAAAGTCCCCAACTGATAGTGTATCAGCATTCCTCCATGATGTAGTCTTTAGCTAGCTCAACGATTGCCAGCTAGCGACTAATTTGTCGCTTCCCATTAGTTGTCTGTGCGACGTTTTGATGCTAAATGTCACTCTACGGTTTCCGAATGGGTCCTATCCATCTCCTTTTTCTTCGGCATAATTTCTGAGCAGTATGTTTTTGGTTGGTTCGTTCCCAGAGCTTCCTCTCCCTTTCTTCTAGCCATCTGATTTTCGGCATGGAGAGAAAGGACGTGATGATGAAATTACGTGCCAGGTTGTTGAGCACGATTTAAGTGGTGCATTTATATCAGAAATCTCCAACTTATTTTTCACGCTTCAAGCAGTAGATTTCCACACTGATTCCAGATTAATAAAGGCTTATCCAACGATGCTATCGGGATGCCATAGAGAAAAAACTTCCCTCGAACTACTCAGGTTGGCAGTGACAAATGCTTCGTATTGCTGGTTGGGTTGGTTCTTCGCTGTGGGTAGCTCGGCGTGTGGCACCGTTGTACACCAGCTGAATGAGATCGATGAAGGTGTGTCTACTGTGCGTTGTGGTTTCCTAAGTGCCTCGTGAATGAGGCAGTCCCAATTTTTTCCCAATTTGATGGAGTTGAGGCAAAGCGTTAACATTATTAATTATATATTCTGACTTTCTGTACATGACGGAGGCCAGTTTACAGGCGTCACCAACTCGGTAAATTAAACATACGGTTAGTAAGGATATTCAATAATAATAATAAACTAAAATATAAAAAATTCTTACCTATGTGGGGCACGCCAGTTATACAACCATGGATAGGTATTATTTAAATTACATGATTTACGCTTAAATTACATGGTTGCTGTCATTCTGTCTTTAGTTTCTGGGTAAAATTTGATAACTAGTGATTCAATGGACCACATCAAATGTTGTCTTCGCATTAACAAAAACAACCCAAGTAGTTATCGGATGGATTATAGATACTTCGGAAAATAAATAAAAGTTGAAGTCAGTTCCTTCATAAAACAACAAGAATGCATCTCACAATAGTAAAATCTCACTTTACGCACATGGAAGACTCCAGTTGACAGGCATCATGAATATGATCACAATAATAATATATTCTCATTTTTGTACATGAGGGACGCCAGTTTACAGGCATCATCAATTCGATAAGTTACACATACGATTAGCAAGCATATTTAGTAAAGATAATATTATAAAGTACATAATTTTTCCTAGCTCTGTAGGATACACCAATTGTATAGGCATGCATAAATATTGTTTAAATTACATGATTTACGGTTGCTGTCATTTTGTCTTCAGTTTGTGGAAAATACCTGATAACTAGCGATTCAATAAACCACATCAGGAGATATAGGGATATTGACTTCGCATTAGCAAAATAAAACTCAAATATTCGTTGGATGGATTACAGATACTTGGGAAAATAAATAAAGCTTGAAGTCAATTTCCTAATATAACAATAAAATAAATTTTATAATAATATTACTGTCTTTTAACGCACATGAAAGCTGACAGGCATCATCAATATGGTAATAATGTACGCATTGAGTAAGCATGTTTAAAATCTTTCACTGACACAAGATATGTATATATACAAGTGAGGATAATAGTATAATCATAATAAACACACTGCATAAGTTAAAACAATTAATATGATATAATCCTAGGCACAATTATTGTTTGAATTCTTCGAAAGTGCGCGTAACAATCGAGTGTTGCGTTACATTTCGTCGATATGGTGGGCTAATCACAAAATGGCTTAAAGGACGTTAGTTTACCGTAAATGGTGTTGCCAATGTAGTTGAAGATTGAACGATCAATTCGTGGTTGTTTGCTCAAAACCAACTTCCCCAATTTTCGCGGAGGCATCAATACGACAGTCATCGTCTCATCGGTCGCTGTTCAGAAAGAAGTCAGTAGCAAACCGTCAGAAGTAACATTGTGATTTATTATTGTAATATTTGTTCGCAGACCTTAGTTATAACATTGTTTATATGTTCGTGTAACAATAAAGAATCCTCGAGTCAACAATTGGTGTTTTGGTTTCCTCGTCCGTTATTACTAAGCGTTTCTGAGAAACTTCAAGGAACAGCGTGAGCCCGAGCGTAGCAAGAGCTGGGCATTAACGGTTTACGAGACGTGGCTGACAGATGTTTTAAGCAACATAATCTGCAGAAGGCTCACCACAGCAGTTAGAAAACAGTTAAACATGCAAAGAATTACTTTTGATTCAGCAACCGGTGAATTTTTTATTCTTTTTAATCTGGAACCAGAATGACCGCGAACCAATCCGTACAAAACGTCGAAATAGGCATGCAGGAGCAGAATATTACCATCGAATGAATCAGTGTGATCCGAGATGCAGTTTTCAGCATATTTTTGTCATTTCACAGACATCCAGGTTTAATGGCGCTGTATAGTTAGTGATTTGGTTTATGACGTATTCCGCAGTGTCTCCGTGATCATGGGAAGTATACATATGCTTGAAATGCATTACTTTGTTGGTTTCTACCTCCACTGAGTGTATACAACAGCAGCTGTGAATTTATGTATTTCCTCGCCACTGTGGAAATAACATCGCCGCATTTTTATTGGGAAGGAGACCAGCTGGTGGATTATAAATGATGTCCAAGTAACTTTTATCTTTTCTTGTGGTGTTGCGGTAAGTTTCGATCTTGTTTTCTCATATTTCA